TTCGCAAAAACTCCCGTTTATCCCAATAAAGTTTTTATGCTCGCATGAGGAGGCTTTTCAGGCAATTTGAAAAAGGAATATTTCGCAAAACTGCAATGGAAACGGGTTTTGCGCATTTACAGTCACCTGACTTAGAATACGCGGTGTGTTTTGGGTCTGTGTCCGCAAATAATAATAATAATTATCATCATTATTATAACATTTATTATATGTAGAAGACGCTTTTATCCAAAAAAGGAACAAAGCAATTCGTCACATTTCATTCATAATACAGGTTGGACAATAATAATAGGGCTAAGATTATCACAAATAAACACAAGATTTTGACGCATATCCAAGTGTGTGTGCGGACTGGGTGTGGAGCGCGCACTGGATGGCGAGGCGTGGGCGCGAACACTTGCATTTTCCTATCAACAGTCGAAACAACTTAAAATACTCTATCATTTCTGGTCATACAGAATATAATAATACATTATTCGCAACTACTTTTATTTGCGTAATCTCACAATAACAAGAAAACGATGTGCTTTTGTAAAATAAAATAAAACAATCAGGCGCGCTTTCATGATCTCCGTGAACCAGTGTTAATTTTGTCAGCAAATTTTGATTTAGTTTTAGTCTTAGTCTTTTGACTAAAATGCCATTTAGTTTTAGTCATATTTTAGTCATCTGAATTGTTTTAGTTTTAGTCTAGTTTTAGTCGACAAAATACAATAACATTTTAGTCGACTAAATCTACAGTAGATTTAGTCGACTAAAATATAATGGGTTTAGTTCAATTGTAAGGCGTTAATTTAGAATTTCTCTAAAATTTCCAAACCCATATACTCCCGGAGAAAACATCTATTAACCTATTAAAATGAATGATTTTTAAGTTTGAACATGCAATACAGATACAGATTTAACTGCTGTTACTTAAAAAATATCTTAAAATGAAATAAAACCACTTTTCCTAAAGTACAACACAGTCTTCTTTACAATGAATGATATATTCATTCCTTATAACTACTTACACATCATTCTTTATTCTTTCAAGCAGACATATTTATTTGTATGAATTAAATATAATTAATCCTTATTAAAGCTATTAACAAACAGTGAATGCTTTTCTCTTTTTCTTTTGTTGCTTGATCAAAATTAAGGACACGGACCGCATTAGGTTTATTGCCACTGTCACTTTAAGACGTCGGATCATGTCCAATGACATGCGGATACAATTGCACTGATGCACATCCGACACACTCACAGTTTAAGACATAACCAGCATAGTTTACATGCTTATGTAACATGCGAGTATGTAACATGCTTTTAAATGTTACATACTCTCCAAAAAGGACATTTAGACATACTGTTGTGTATTTCTCCATTCAGACACGAAAGAGAGCTCAATTCAGTAGCCTACTCGCGCGCTGTAGGTGTATTGTGTCTATGGCTGGACGCTTCGGTCGTGTGTGCGCACAGAAAACCGCACCGAATAGAGCTCTTTTTTGCATCGTCACTCTTATTCAGAGATCTATATGTCTGCCCTACTCATTCTCCCAGACGTTCACATTTTTTAACGTTTTATGACCGCGGGGTAGATCACGTTACAGTAGCCTACAAATGTGCGCATCTATCACACACGCAGGACATCAGTTCTGACGGATCGCTTCCCAAATCGTCACTATCTAACATTTTCGTCTAGTTTTTATTCGTTGACGAAAATGTCAATAGATTTTCGTCATAGTCTTTGTCATTCAAAACTAGGTTTTATTTAGTTATCGTCTCGTTTTCGTCTGTGAAAAAATGTCGTTGACGAATAATTTTCGTCGTTATTTTCGTCAACGAAATTAACACTGCCGTGAACTGAAGCGCGAGAACTGATAGGCTAGCCTTTGTAGACTGAAGCTTTAAATGTCCACTTTAAAAGGAACAAATTCGAATCGAAAGCTAATACCTTCTGATTATGTAATCCGTATGAAAGGTGCATTCTCTCTAAAGGTGCATCCGGAGATATGTTTTTAGCCGACACTGATTTAGGAAAACAATAGTTTATTAATAAACAATTAAAATGCCTCGTTATTTTTTCAGACACATTTATTATAGCCTAACTCACCTATACATCCCCTTTCTGTAGGCTGTGGTTATGGCTCTTCTCATTCAGCACTGCGGGAAAAATATAATTTCCAGGTTCTAATTTGGCCTTAGAAAACCAGTAAAATCTACATTTTTTTCTCCATATTAATTTGTGAATATTTTAAATGTTTAAAAAAGGGGCAAAAAGTCATAAACAAATATCCGAAAATTCGTCTCTCTCTCTCTCTCTCTCTCTCTCTCATATATATATATATATATATATATATATATATATATATATATATATTTTTTTTTTTTTTTTTGTGCAGCATTTGGTGTAGGCCTACAGGTCAAACTAAAATATTGGTGTTCACCTTTGCGTTTTAAAAATACAACAACCGTTCATTTTTCGTTTTGCAATTACGGGTTAAATAAGAAAAATGAATGCAAGTACACTGACCGTTTGGACACAATACGAGACAGAGTTCTTTATTGAATTCATAAAATAAACAATAAGGGAGAAACACCCAGGAACTCCGTGTCTTTCCCTGCCATTAACGCTTGGATAACACGCCACGTCTCCTTCCAATAATAATAATAATGTCTATGCGGTGGCTGTGATATAGGCTATAAACCTACCAACGTCCGTTGCCATGATTTTTGGAATGACTGATCGCGAGAGGAAAAAAAGACGTTTTAGTCGCATAACATCGGTTAATGGAACGCCGTCATTTCGCAATAGTTTTTTATCGACATTTAGAAAATATTGCAAAAGTTTTGCGCAAATCTGTAATGGAAACGCGCCCCAAATATGATCAAATATTGGGGGGGACAAATTGCCCTTCGTTGAATATTGGGGGGGTCGTGTCCCCCTGTCCCCTCATAGAATTACGCCTATGGTTAGAATAGTTTATAAGAGCCCAGTTATAAGCATGACGATGCTGTAAAAGCGACTGAGTTTACATGTTCAGCGTGAGGACGTTTAATCTCCTCGACAGCCTCTGTAGTCCCATTAGCCACTGGTTACCACCGCCTTTTTCAAGACACAGATTAAAACACATCACGAGTGGGGTAATACTGATGTATTTTACGTCGTAGAACAAAACGTGAAAGTGTGTGAAAGTGTCTTGAGCTTGTGTTCACCACAGACCTTATATCAGCCATTCAACCAAAACCCCATTCAAAAAACCCAATGACTTCGGGACGATGGAACCGGAAGTGCTAAAACTCGTTTCCACGTTTTGGCCTACAAGGTGCGTCATACCTGCACCGCTCTATGAAATGATGACGAAACGCAAAGACCAACAACTGATGCGCCTCTTGATGGAAATAGCATCACAACGTTTATTTCATCAAGAGGTGCATCAATTTTAGGTCAAGATCTTGTATTGACAATGCAAGAGTCCAGCACTCTGTAAAGTCTCCTCCAGCACATCCCACAGACTTACAATGAATGTAAGGTCTGGACTCAGAGGAGCATCAATTCATGTGTGAAAATGATTCTTCATGCTCCTCATAACCATTCTTACACAGTTTGAGCCTGATGAATCTTGACATCGTCCTCCTGGAATATGGCCATGATGTGTCTTCCTACACGGTTGTTTAAGAAATGAAAAGCTACACACTCCATCAGTTAGGGTTAGAAGAACTGTTGGCAAACATATAACATGATAGAAACATAATAATCACTGCAATAATGATCCAATCATAGACTCTTAAGCATTTGTTTTTGACAGAAGGTATTGGTCTTTCGATTTAAATCTAAAAGTAAGACCGATTAGCCCTAACTAACTGCTGGTTGGTCAGACTAGTCCTAAAGACTTAGATCTCAAGGAGATTATCAGAGCAGATTTTAGGTCCGTTCCTCACACAACCCTACCATAAGACTTAAGAAGACTTGGACTTTGATTAATCTGAAGCACTTTTAAGGTGCTTGTTTGTGGAGCCTCTTTGAATCTTGAAAGCTACATTCATCATTTATTGTAATGGCATGGAAAAAAGTGGCAAGTACTTTATTCAAAATGTCTCCTTTCATTCAGGAAGGACATGAGGGTGAGTAAATGATGACTGAATCATTTGGCTGCACTGAGAAACAGAAGACGGTGTGTCCCAAGAAGGTCACCGTGATTTTGCCAAGACAGACGTGCTCCCGGATCATCGTAATTTGGAACATTTCTGTCTGAAAATTGAGTCCAAACCCAATCCATAGCCCTACCCAGAACTTACCCCGAAACTCAGAGGGAAATGGTAGGTGGATAACACTGATGTGGAAGCACCTAACCCTGGTTTTAATCCTAAACTTGACATAAACTGTAAACTTGGCCCTCAAATCTGATTGGTTGATTGGAATGTTGTTCCACGAACAAAGATGTGGCTCCAGGAACATTGGTGAAATCACGTTCGTCATCCTAAGGACACAATCGACTTTTCAGGGACAGTCCCACGATAAGAGGAGCTCACGACCGGTGTGTTTTGGAGTGAGGCCGGTCTGATTGTGTGTGTCTAAAGGCGCTGAAAGGTCAGAGATGGGTCAGTTTGTGCAGGGCGGTTTCGTCCTTGTGTCCGCCTGGCAGGACGTCCTTCCACTGCGGCTTTAACACCACAGTAACACCCTCTCACACACACACACACACACACACAGATGCAGACAGACAGCTTGAGTTTATGTGGGGCGTTCTGGTTCGTGGTCTGATGCGCGTCACGGTGCTGATTATGTGGACTCAGCGTGGGCCGCAGGGTTAAACTCAAGCCCGGCTTTAGCTCTTCCAGCTGAACGTCACACATTACCCACAAGCCACTGCTCTCTCTCCGCTCTTCCACTGGGATGTGGCTGCGGTGTGTCGAGAGTGGTTGTGTGATAGTCAGCCAGAATCAGACATAAAAAGAGCCTGTGTTTGTGTGTCAGAATGCAACATTATGCAATGTGGTTTGCGTGTGTAACTCAC